GGCTTCTCCTTCAAGCAGGTTCAAGGACCCTAGAGGCAGAATTCAACTCTATCAGAGCGCCTGTCTAGACAGACCCCTAAACAAAAGCTTACATTATATGTGAATGGGTAAACTCCATAAAGAAAAATAGGCGGCCCGGCTGGTGTGGCTCAGTGGTTGAGCGTTGACCTATGAACCAGGAGTTCACAGTTCGATTCCCGGTCAGGGCACATTGCCGGGCTTGATCCCCAGTGGGGGGGCATGTAGGAGGCAGCCAATTGATGATTCTCTCTCATCGTTGATGTTTCTCTCTCTCTCCCTCTCCCTTCCTCTCTGTAATCAATAAAAATATATTTTAAAAAAAGAAAAATAGGCCTTCTCTCTCCAGGGTGCAGACCTGTGCCATTCCCCCCCCCCCCTCCTTCCCCTGCAGGCACGTATCCCCTAACCTCTAAGGGCCTCCTGTGACTTGCAACCAGGGGAGCAATGGGCAGTGGCAGCTCGTCCCGGGCTCACCCCCTGAACCTGTCTCCAAGGCCCCCTTTTCTCTGCCCAGTGAACCTCAGCGGCCTGCCTCGGCTCTTCAGTTGCTTCTATGTCTTTCCTTGTTTCCCTCTCCTAAGTATGTTTTTGCTGCAGTCAATAAATTCTTGCTTCCTTTTCTACACACACAAAAAGGAAAAGTACATTCTTGTTTTTTCCTTTATTTTCTTATTAAGATAAAAAATAAAAAAGTTGCCGAAACTGGTTTGGCTCAGTGGATAAAGCATCAGCCTGCGGACTGAAAGGTCCCAGGTTCGATTCCGGTCAAGGGCATGTACCTGGGTTGCGGGCACATCCCCAGTAGATGTGCAGGAGGCAGCTGATCGATGTTTCTCTCTCATCGATATTTCTAACTCTCTATCTCTCTCCCTTCCTCTCTGTAAAAAATCAATAAAATATATATTTAAAAAAATAAAATAAAAAAGTTTTTTAAGTTCTTGGTTTTCAGGTACAATGCTGTGTTGTCAGCTCTCAGGAGCAATTCTAAGGCTTCCTTGAAGAACTTGGCAATAAAATTGTCCTTTTTGGATTACCTCTGAGATTAACATTTCAATAAATTAGAGTAGAAATATACAGTCACCTTAACGCCTACAAACAGACGGTGCTTGGGTGGGTGTTGTCAGTGGAAGCGAAAACTCGAGCCCAATTCCCAGCGTCAGTAACGAGGCCACCTTGAAGGTAGGTCCCTGGGCCCTGGGAGCCATTATTCCTGTTTCTGTTTTAACTTTGCCCTTCTCTTACCTGAAGCCTAGGCCATGAATTTGTTTAACTCCCCTCATTTTGATTCGCCTTCATAACTATGTTCCAGTTTCCCATATGGGTCTGCCTAGAGAAGGGAAGACTTTGCTGGCCACCGTTGAAGTTTTCCATCTGTAAACTGGCATCCATTTTCCCCATACCCTGGTGTGGTGACCTTGGTTTCGGAGATCCACCCCGAGAGATGCTGATGAAATCGGTTTCTGAGCCTGCAATCCTGAGAATCATCTGGACTAAACAGTACATTCTCCCAAGTCATGCCACCTCCTGAGGCCTCTTGGGAAGCAGCCAAGTGACTCTCCAGACAACGCCTCTCTCCACTGATGAGAGGCCAAGGGAACTACCTCCCCTTTTTAAAAATTTCTACACTCAGAATTTTATTACCGTTTTACTTAAGAAGACCAGTTTCAATACAGTCAAACCAACAATTTCAAGTGAATCATTGCTGTGTATTAGACATTCTGCTTGAGCATCTAACGAACATGCTCTCTAAAAATAAATTTAAAAAAGGGTTGTAAATATTTTTCTTAAAACCTTTTCGTCAAGCTAGCACTTCTTTTTGAATTGGATCAAATTCTGCCTTTCCAGAAATGTTTTTGATGTTTATTCTTTCTTAAAAAAAATGTTTTGAAAGAGACAGGGAGAGAAACATCAACTTGTTGTTCCACTTATTTATGCATTCATTGGTTGATTCTACATCTGTTATTGTTGTCTGCCCAGCCTCTTTCCTCTTCCTGCTAATAGCAGTGCCCAGCTGCCACCCCCACTCTAAGCCCTTCTTCGCCAGAGGTGGGGCTTGAGATCCAGGCTATAGTACAACTTCTTCCTGGCCACAGTGGTTGGTCCAAGAATGACCAGAGCCATGGCAATCGTGCTCCTCACTTGGAACTCTCTGCATTAGGAGGTGAAGCCGCTCCCCCGATTAGGCGTTATATGGATGGAACTCTAGAGCTACTTGCCATCATGTTCCCTGACACACGGAGGTTCCTGAGAGAGGAAAGCCAAAATGTGGATAAAGGTGGACAGAGTCTGGATTCTCAAGTTCTTCTTTCCCTTGTTTCAGTTAGATAAGCCAATAAATAGTTTTGTTTGTTTATGCTATTTTTTAGTTAAGTTCTATCACTCGCAACCTAAAAGTCTTAATATAAATTCCCATAAAAATACTTCTTAGCTCTGGCCAGTGTGGCTCAATTGGCAGGGCATCAACCTGTGCACTGAAAGGTTGCGGGTTCGATTCTCGGTCAGAGCACATGCTAGGGCTGCAGGCTCCATCCCCAGTAGGTGTGAGGTGTGCAGGAGGCAGCTGATCGATGTTCCACTCTCAAATAGATGTTTCTTTCTCTCTCTCTCTCCCTCTTCCTTCCTCTCTCTCTCTCTCTCTCTCTGAAAAAACAAAAACAAAGAAACTTCTTATATGCTAGGGTCATTAGCAAAATAGTAAGACTAATGACACAGCTTTCTAGACTGAATTGTGTCCCCCAGATTTTGTATGTTGAAGCCCTAACACCCCCTAACAAGTGACTGTACTGGAGATAGGGCCTTTACGGAGGTGGTTAAGGTTAAATATGGTCATCAGGTTGAATCCTGACGTTACAGAGTGCTGCCCTTTTAAGAAGAGGAAGGGACAACAGAGCTCTCAGCCATGTGAGGACACAGTGAGAAGGCAGCTATCTGCAATCCAGGAAGTGCTCACCAGAACCTGACCATGCTGGCACCATGCTCTGGGACGTGCAGCCTCCAGAACCGTGAGAAAAGGAATCTGTTGTTTAAGCCGCCCAGTCTATGACATTTGCTAAGGCAGCGAGCAGACTAACACAGGCACCCAGGACAACCGCCCAGGGGCCGGTTACTACCAGTTCCTTCTTCAGGGTGAAGTGGACCCTGACTAGAAAAAATTGTGATATATTAATGTTTTATTATTCTGCTCCCATTCTTTTTTTTTTAATATATTTTTATTGATTTCAGAGAGGAAGGGAGAGGAAGAGAGAGAAACATCAATGATGAGAATTACCAACCGGCTCTCCTGCACGCCCCCAACTGGGGATCGAGCCTGAAACCCGGGCATGTGCCCCTGACCAGAATCGAACCCAGGACCCTTCAGTTTACAGGCCGACGCTCTATTCACTGCGCCAAACTGGCCAGGGCTCTGCTCCCATGTTTTATTTCAGCTTAGTCTGGAGTAGCTTTTCAACTGGTTTTTACTTTTTTATTTTAATATATATATTTTTTTATTTCAGAGAGGAAGGGAGAGGGCTAGAGAGATAGAAACATCAATGATGAGAATCATTGATTGGCTGCCTTCTGCATTGATTGGCTGCCCTGACTGGGAATCGAACTGTGACCTCCTGGTTCATAGGTCGACTGCTGAACCACACCAGCTGAACCACGCCAGCCGGGCTGGTTTTTACTTTTTTAAATAACAAAAAGATCAGCCCAGCTATCTTGAATCTTACTATCAACTGAAGTGCATTATACTAATAGTACAGAGATTTTAATGAGATTAAGCAGCTAGAATTATATTTTAAGTGGGAGAAAAAAGCTGATAAATCACACACAGTCAAATTATAGTATTGATCTTTTTTTAATTTTTCAGACCTTAAATAGGTTAAGAAAGTAAAATTCTCCAGTACTGATTTATAGGTGTTCAGAAGTGGCACACATTCAGTTTCAGAGTAATATTCAGCGATCCCTCTAAATGCAATTTAATCCTGATTTTAAGCTAAGTGCAATAATAATTTAATACAATAAGCTAAATACACACAAAAGCTGTATATCCTGATCTACAAAAGTAGTTTCCATAGCCACATATGGTTTAGTCAAGTATACATTTCCACAATGAACAAGTACTAACAAATGTTAGTAAAACACCTAAATGCTTGTCCTGCCGTCAGCTTTTTAACAATGCCATTCCTGCTACTGAAAGCATTTATCTTTATACAGAACGGAAATCTGACCTGGGAAAATGAGTTTTCTTAAAACTTGACAAATCATATATGCCCTAGAGGTTTTAAATCAAAAAAGCCTTCAAAATGAAGCACTCACATGAACCTTTTAGTTTCTCCCTCCCAAAAAGGAAAGAATATTAAAACAAAGAACTACCTTAAGACAGATAAACACTCCTACAAAAAGACTGTATTTTCTTCTATCATCTTCTCCTTAAAAGAAACACAAACCATTTTACTATCTTTTAATAACCTCTCAGATTACTGTAGTCTGAAAACATTGTTTTAATTATCATGTCTTAGCTATCAGAAAGTCAAAGATGCCATTTAGAGTTCACATATTAAAGAGCATGACCTGAAGGGGGAAGGTGGAGCGGGCCAAAGGGGGAAAAAGGGGACATATGTAACACTTTCAACAATAAAGATTTAGAAAAAAAATAAAGAGCATGTCCTACAACGGCACAAATGCACCAGGTACATAAATACTTCTTGTTTAGAATTCAGCGGCTGCCAGACTTTTGGACTTCACGGACCACCAGTGGTCCACAGACAACTGGTTGGCAACCGCTGGTTTAGACAGTCAAAAGTCAGAAGGTACTACATGGTTTGCAAGATCCTTTACCTTGTGTATGGTCATTAAAACCCACTCTTTTTTTAAAAAATATATTTTTATTAATTCCAGAGAGGAAGTGAGAGGGAGACAGAAATATCAATGATGAGAGACAATCATTGATTGGCTGCCTTGGGGATCGAGCTGCAACCCAGGCATGTGCCATTGACCAGAACTGAACCGTTCAGTCCGCAGGCCAGTGCTCTATCTACTGAGTCAAACCAGCTAGGGCTCAAATATCACTCTTAAATAGAAGACATGAAAATAAAGGTGGGAAACTTCGTGCTTCTCCACCTTTCACTTACATCGCTAGTTATGGGGACCTTCCCATGGAAAACATATGGTTATATATATGGTCTCCCCAGAAGATAAGGAAGCTTCAGTAAGTTCCAAAGTTGTCAAGATCCGTAGTTTGCTTCATCAAATGCTTTTCTAGCTCGTTTCAATTCTTCGTTCATAGTAAGCAAATCTTTAACCCTCGCAAACTTCCTTGGGTCCTTCCGTATCAGAAAGACAATATCTTCAACTTGTACCCGACCTTGTCTTCCAATTGACATTGCCTTGTGAGTCTATTGCAAAAAAGCATATTAAATTCAATTGATTTTTAAAAATATAACATTTTACTGTTTCAATTTGCATGTATTCATCATTCTTTTTTTAAATTTGCATGTTTAATACTGGTGAGTTTGAAGATTTTTCTCTTCTATTATAGCTATTCATTTGTGAATTATCTTCTATTCATACCTCTATCCACTTTCTACTGGGTGATTAGCACTGTTTCTCTTAATGCTTTATAGATATTTTTTAATATTAAGAACACAAAAGCTATCAAATTTACTGATGTTTCTTTGATTTTTGATATATGTAGTTTTTGCCTTCACTGTATAAAATAATTTTGTAATTTCTTTGTAATCACCCATTTCATTTAAAATTTGTGTCCATCTCAATATTGGTGGCTTTCTTAAAATCAAATCTCACCCTCTGTCATTATATATTCATCCTGTGCAAAAGCAAAGGTTCATCATAGCATATTCCTGATGACTAAAAAAAGGGAAACTAAATATTAAGGCTTTAAATAAATTTGAGCACATCCATTCAATTTTATGAAACCATTACAAATATAGTGTTATGCAATGACATGGGGGAAATGTTCTAGGCTTACCTAAATGGAAAACAACCACCACCACCAAAAAAACAGGTTATAAGACTGAATATAACAATATAATTTCAATTTTGTAAATTTTAAAAATATATGCAAAAGACAAAAGAATATTCACCAAATTCTTAGCATTAGTTGTGTCTATACTGTGTCTCATATATGTGTATGTACATACACACATATACAATCTCCATTCCTAATGATAAATAGTAATCAATAACTTCCACAAAATAGGCACTCACATGGATATCTTATTTCTAAAGAATGCCATAGTTCTAGTCTTATCTATAAGTTTGAATTTAAAATCTTTTTTTCAATTAACTAAGACCAATAACAACAAAAAAAATATCTTACCATTTCAGTGATGAACTCTATAACAAGGTCTTCAAGAATATCCACCGACTCAGTATAAGGATTCTGGTCATCCCCAAACCCATACATCATACATCGTACTGTAAAAGAAAAATCATTCTTATTGGACAAATTTAATCACTTGATCAATACTTTTTTCAAATTAGAATTGAACCAAGTTGCCCTGGCCAGGTGGCTCAGTTAGTTGAGAATCAACCCGTACACCAAAAGGTTGTGGGTGTAATTCCCAGTCAGGACACATACCTAGGTTGTGGGTTTGATCCCCAGTGAGGGTGCATACAAGAACCAGGCCCTAGCTAGTTTGGCTCAATGGATAGAGCGTCTGGCCTGCGGACCAAAGGGTCCTGGGTTTGGTTCCAGTCAAGGGCACAAACGTTGGTTGCAGGTTCCTCCCTGGCCCCGGCCCTGGTCAGGGCTCGTGCAGGAGGCAACCAGTCAATGTGTTTCTCTCACATCGATGTTTCTCTCTGTCTTTCCCTCTCTCTTCTACTCTCCCTAAAAATCAATGGAAAAATATCCTCAGGTGAGGATTAACAACAAAACATTATATATATCTCCATCCTAGGGCAAGAAATTAAAAAGAAAATTAGAGCCCGGCCCGTGTGGCACAGCGGTTGAGTGTCGACCTACGAACCAGGACAGTAGTCGCCAACCGGTGGTACGTGGACCACTGGTAGTCTGTGAGGTCCAAAAGGTTGGCGACCGCTGAACCAGGTTATGGTTCGATTCCAGGTCAGAGCACATGCCTGAGTTGCGGACTCGATCCCCAGTAGGGGTATACAAGAGGCAGCCAATCTGATTCTCTCTCATTATTGATGTTTCTCTCTCTCTCTCTCCCTTCCTCTCTCAAATCAATAATAGAAAATATATAAAAATATTAAAATTTTGATGACATAGCCAGGATTCTCCAAAAATAATAATACTCTTATTATTTGCCGGAGTCCTTTCATTGTCTTCACTAGCTGAGTTTAGACAGAGACCCCCAAAAGCTAGTAACCTTTGAAGTCCTAGCAAAGGTCAGAGCTGCACCACCCAGTTAATCTAGGAACCACCCAGTTAATTTAGGTAATAATAGCTGAAGCATCCCCACCTTAGTTCCCTTAATTCCTTAGATACTTGTGTAGATGCTTGTTGATTATTGTTGATCAGATATTCTGCCTGTTTCTGGAAATTGTCTACCAATGAGCTAATCCATGTGTCATTCAAACCTCCTTACCCTAGGGCTACCCCAGATCAAATAAAAGCTTGGAGCGGCCTGAGCATCAGTGGAAGTCCCTCTCCTTGAGTTGGACTTGCCCGCCTGGTCCCCCAATATTGCAAAATTATCTCGTGTCTTTTTCTTTCACTTGTGTGCAGCTCCTCTTTCAGATACCGAACCCTACTCCACGCGGGACGTGGAAGGAAACACACTCGACATTATTTTTCCTGAAGATATAGACTTCACTAGTAGGGAAATATATTTTACTGGAAAAGATATTAGATAGGAAGTATGTAAACTGTGTTTGGTTAAAGGGTCTGTGAAGACAAACAAATACCTGTGAATGCTTTGAAAGTTTCTGTTACATCAGCAAAAAAAAAATGTTTTTAAAGGATCAGGAGAACAGATCTTAAGATATATTCCATGCCCTAACCAGTTTGGCTCAGTGGATAGAGTGTCAGCCTGCGGACTGTAAGGTCCCAGGTTCGATTCCGGCCAAGGGCATGTACCTTGGTTGCGGGCATATCCCCAGTGGGAAGTGTGCAAGAGGCAGCTGATCGATGTTTCCAACTCTCTATCCCTCTCTCTTCCTCTCTGTAAAAAATCAATAAAATATATTTTTTTAAAAAAGATATATTCCAGTAAGACAAGCTGTGAAGATTCCAAATTCTTGTCATCATAAAAATAAAGCAATCCAAGTAGATAAAAGTTTCTGCTACGAACTATGCAAGCATCACTCTGGGGTGCCCTGGTGTAGGAATCCCCTTCGTATGCTGACAAAAGAAGTAAAACCACAAACAAATGGAGTACATGGCATCAGAGATGGAATAAGGAGCAGTCAGCTTTAGGTGAGGAACTGAGATATGGAGAGGAATTTGAGTGGTAAAAAAAGAGGGAGACAGACATAATGGCCCAGCAGTTTCAAGAGCCTTTGGGAACTGTTTACATCTGACTCAGCATCAATGAACCAGCTATTCAAGTGCTGCCCTATCTGTCAATACTGAGCCATAACTAAGGGAGCCGGATTGGGAGATGAAGAGCAAATTCTCCCGGTGCCTTTCAGAATTTGGCCTGGACCAGTCCCTCCTGCTACTGACAAAAAGGGTCAAACCTGTCGACCGAGGGAGTAGAATGGAGGGCGGACACATTATAATCTCTATGACACTATAAGACCCTGCACTGTTCACCACCTTCCTGCCTTAGTCCAGCGCTCCAATTTAATTTCTAGGCTCAGCATGTTCCAGGATTCATCCTAACTTTTGGTCAAAAATCCCTGCTTCTACTGCTGCAAAGTGTGGGACAAGGGAAGAAAGGGAGGTATGTTCTTAGGCCTTGAATCAAAACACTGATCACATTTCCTCACTGATCACATTTTCCTCATTTGAAAAAAAAAGGGGGGGGGGAATGTGTGTGTTTATGAATATACATCCTATATAATAAAAGCCTAATATATAAATTGTCCCCTCCGGCGGTCATTTGATGGGGAGTTTAACTGCTTGCTATGTGCGCTGACCACCAGGGAGCAGTGCAGAACATGGTGGGCGTCAGCAAGGCGGCGCTGCCGGCCCCAATGGACCCCAACGCCCCTGATAAGAGCGGGACCACAGTGGGATGGTGGAACAGGTGAGGGGGCAGCCAGGCCACGGTGGGGTGCCAGGTGGGGCTGCGAGCTGGGCCTGATCTCTGTAGGCCACCCTGAGGGACCCCACCCGTGCACAAAGCCTCTAGAATTTATATATGTGTGTATGTAAATTGTGGTTAGGATCATTACTAGCTTTGATTCACAAATTAAACAGAATTTTACAGGCAAGTCTGAGAATAGTGTCCCTACAGGTAAACAATAAATCTACTTTGTTTTTTTAAAATATATTTCTATTGATTTTAAGAGAGAAGGAGAGGGATAGAGATAGAAACATCAATTAGAGAGAAGCTGATTGCCTGCCTCCTCCACGCCCCCTACTGGGGATGGAGCCCACAACCTAAGCATGTGCCCTGACCAGCAGTCGAACAATGAACTCCTGATTCATAGGTCAATGCTCAACCACTGGGCCACATCGGCCGGGCCAGAACAAGAAATCTACTTTGAATGCACATGTCCAAAACATTTCAATCATCTGCAATAGAATCATTGTAAATATTACTTACATTCTTTAGAAAAAAGTCTCTTTCTTTTACCCTGCCCACCTTCCACACCTCCTCCAATTTCTTCATTTTCTTCCTCAAACTGCAAGTAAAAATGTATAGAAAGAAATGTCAAGCCATTGCACGGCACTGGTTCTTTAATAATTCACAGCCCCCCTCCACTTTCGACACTGACATCATGCCAGGAAGCCTAAGGCGAGCACCAGACAGTCCAACCTCCGGCTCAAGCAGGAACGGCTCCCATAATGTCCCTAGCAAAGCACCCAACTGCCCCTCCCGGGGGAATTCCATTGACTACCCTTTCCCCCCCCAACCACCATGTTGGCCCGCTGCTAGGCAGTCTCACTAGTGCGGGAGTTGGTGCTGAATCAAAGCTGGGATCGCGCCTTAAGGAAGCCTCCGCCCCACTGAATGCCATGGACCCCAAGAACCAAAATTAAATGACTCGCTCGCGGGCAACGGAAGTTGTGAAACCCAGGCTCCCACTTCCGGTCCACACTTGACAGCGAGGGGGCAGTTTTGTGAGCAGCTGAACTGCTGGCTCGCCGGGAGCGCTAAGAGACATTCATTCGCTCGGCCTCCGACGACTCTCCAGGCGTCACGAGGGGCGTCTGGCAGGTGTGGACCAAACGCCAGGGTCGGGGGCCGCCCTCCCCTCCCCCCTCCTCGCCCGGCCCCACGCCCTCGAAAAGCGAACGGAAGGGAAAGGCTGGACACCGCGTCGAGTCCCCGGCTCTCCCGGCTGAAGTCACTCAGGAAAGCAGACCCGACTCCGACCCCGGCCTCCGCCACTGTCCCCGGGGAGTGAAGAGAAGAGCGGGTGGGAACAGAGGTGGTCACTCACGGTGGGGTCCTCTTCCTCATCCGCCATCCCACCGGCCAGTCCACAGCGCCCGGCCCGCTTTTACTACTTTCTCAAATGAGACGTCTCAGACCTCCGAGCGGCTTTTACTACTTCCGCCGCCGCACTTCCGGTGACGCAATGTATTGGGCGGGGCCTAAGCGGGCGGGACCGGAAGGGGCGGGGACGCGTGGTCCCGTCTAAGGGCGGAGCCAAGACGCTCTTTAGGGACGTAGGAATGAGCTCCTGGCTCTGAAATCACGAAGGAGGAATTAAAAGGCAAAGAATAGGAAGCCCTGGCGGCGTGTACCTGATGGTCACCCTCCATGTGCTTCTGCCTGCGGGGTCGCCACTATCCGATTCGGGTCTGCCAAGCAATGGATGGATGGTTGTGGGGCTAGCCGGCGGCCTTGGGCTGCCCCAAGCGTGTATTTAAACAATTTCCACAAATTGGAGTTCCACTGTGATTCATGCCAAGTTTTGTGTTGGTTATTGGGGATGTTCTTTACTAGTAGTAAAGCGTCGAATTTTCAACCCCACCCACCCATTCTCCAGAGAGGGGAAAAAGGCTGGGAATGGAGTTGATTGTACTTACACCTGAGGCATCAAAATCCCAATCGTAGGAGATTCGGAGAGCCTCCAGGGTGGGGGAAACATCCACATACTGGGAGGGTACCGTACCCCAACTCCACAGGGACAGGCGCTCTTCACTCAGACCCTCCCAAACCTCACCTAATACCTCTCTTCATCTGGCTGTTCATTTGTGTCCTTGATCATATCCTTGAATAGACTGGTAGACATAAGTATTGTCCTGAGTTCTGTGAGATGTCCTAGCAAATAATAGAATAATACAAGGGAGAGGAGGTCACAGGAACCTCCAATTTGTAGCCAGGTGGGACAGAAGTTGTGGGTATCCTGGGGGCCTGTAAGGGGGGGGGGCATGAATTACAGAGATAATA